ATATATAGTGGGTTAAGTGTGAAAAAGCTTGACAAGAAGTTGGACAGAAGTCTCCTCCATTCATATCGAAAGGTACCTACCTTACCTTTTTATGGGTTCAAAAAGGAAACATCACTTGTATTGACTTATTCACTGTAAAAATATAAATAATGTTTTCAGGATTTGTCAACTCAAGTTTCTGCTGAAACTGATCCAGTCACCATTTTGCCTAAAGTCGTTTCTCTACTTTATATACAGGTAGGTTACTTCTTTTCTGTTCTTGTATTATTTTATAATTATTATCTCAGATTTTTCATCTGTTGACTTTGTTCTGTTGTGTTGTGGGGCCATATACGCAGTTTTTTGGAAGAGCTCTTCAAGCACCAGGGAGGACCATTTCGGTTGCAATCTCTAAATTAAAGGTATAAATAAAACATGACAACCTGTTTTCTTCTGCTCACCTGTTGACAAACGGGCCCTCCCTATATTCACTACGGTGATGTGGCAAAACTTATTTATGAAATTTATCAAAAAACTGAAAAAAAAAATAATAATAATAATCTGACAGGAGAAACTAGATGATTCAGCATACAAAACCTTAGAAGAGTACCATGCTGCAACAGTCACACTTTTGACCCTTATATCAGCATCAACAGGCGATGTAAGTAAAAAAAAAAACCAGATGAATAGTTGTTAATTAACATTTTACTTATATGTATGTTTATTAATTATTATTGTTTAGGAAGAAGATTGTACATCAGATAGAGCTTTAACCAAAAAGGAGCTATTGGAACGTTTAATGCCAGCATTGAAAGCCCTAGTCTCCCCCAACTCCAATCCTCGCCCCTCCCAATAAATACCGCTTCTAGTCTTCTAGATAGAGACACAACAATTTCATTTTCAATAGAATGTTTTTTGTGTTGGAATCTTTTTATTATGAATGCATGGTTAAGGGAACCGAAACTTAAACAATTGACTACTTACCAAATCAAATTATACCAAAGTAGAAGTAGGATAAAAAAAATACAATACATAATGTATATACTTTTACAATCCCGGTCACCAAAATTTGTCTCATATTTCAAAATCTGCCAACAATGAAAAGATGTAGAGTAAAATAATGTTTCCTGATGATGACTATTATATGTAAATGTAAATGATGATAATATTTGACAAATTGAACCTAAAAGTAAAACCCTCCCTAGAGAAATGGAATCTGATCTGACTTGCTGACTACCTAAAATCCAAACGACTTTACATGTAAAACTGAAATACTCAAACCAAAAGTCAGTGTTGAGGTAATGCCGGTCTTTTTTCAAACATCTCATAGTAGATCACAAAATTATCCTGCACACACACACACACACACACATTTATTAAGGATTTTTCAAAAAAAATAAAAATAAATAGTAAATAAAATAATAAGCTACAGCTACAGCTACAGCTAGCAACCTTGCGTATGGTTTCCCATGTGTTTGGGTCAAAACAAATGTAGGAACCTCTCTCGTATGTGTTTGTCTTGACAAGAGGGTCTGTGTTTGCAGCCCTCATAAACCATAACCGGTGCTCTCTGTGATAAAACCACCCTCTATTGTACCTGCACCCACCCAAAAACAGGTCACTCACTCATATTTTATTTTATGATTAATCAAATTCAAATGGGATAATTGAGAATTTGTGATAACTTACAATTCATTTGCAGCATATAATTGGGCTTCATCTTGAGGCATGCTGCAAATATCATAAATCAAATCACTTTCAAAATATAAATGACAACAGACTGCTCTAGAATTCTACCTGTAGAAGATGTAGAACAATGTGTTCAACTGAAACTTTGAAAAATACCGTTGCTGCAACAACAAACACATACCCACAACCACCAAAAAATTAATAAAATCCTAACATATTATTAAACAATAAAAAAAGAAAAAGAAAAACTCACATTCAAAACGGGTGCTTGTTTAGCATAATAACACTGAGGCACCATGAAATCGGGGTCCCCTTTGACCGGTTCATCTGACCATGGAGACCCGAATGTCCTGTGAAGATTTTCAGCCGAATTCAAATTCAACCCAAGAGTTGTCAAATCAATTCCAAGGGCAAGAGATGTCAAATCCGGATCACTCATTCTAATTACACTCAACAATCCAAGCAAACCGAATCGATCTGGAGTCTGTAATGACTTATTAACAACCCCTTGATCCCCCCCATACGATTGCAATCGGAATTGAGACTGATTCCTTTGTTGTTGTTGTTGCTGTTGCTGTGATGGATAGTGTTGCATTAGTTGCTCATATGAACCGATTCCAGAGATTGGATTCTGAGAATTCATCGGTCTCAAACCTCCGCTTCCCTAAAACCAGTTCACAAGGTCAATATGGTAAAATTTAAATTCCCATTCCTTATCTCAACCATCAACTCAATAAAATAATTAATACCTGTGAGTGATATGATGTATGTGAGCCTTGTTGGAACATATCCAAATGGTGTACATCTTGATTGTTTGCGGATGCAAAAGATGAGACATTGCTACTTTGTTGTTGTGGACGATGTGACGAAAATGCCCCTCCCAAGTTGAACCCCGAAGACCTTCCCATCTGATATATGCAAAGTAAATTGGTAAAAAAGAGAAAAGTGTGTTGCTACTTGCTATATCCTGCAATTTATCAAAATATTTAAATTAACTCACAGAGAAATGTGGAGACTGCATCATTGAAACATTGGTATCATGAAGCTGTTGCTGTTCCTTCTGGTGCAAATCCATAGGATAATCACCATTGCCACCTGTACAAAATCTAAAACAGTGTTAATAAAATTAACATAAACATATTTTATAATGAGAGAGTGTTAATGTTATCACCTTTAAATCCTGGTAGAGCAGGAAAATCTTCATTCTGTATGCTAAATTCTTGATTTTGCTGTACAATCGGACTAACCCCAAGTCCTTGTTTTCTTAAAGAACCTGAATTTTCAAGATTCAAATCAAAAAAATACCCAACGAAAAAAAAAAAAATTAAAAGTTACTTTATTTAGTATTTACCTATTTGCCCTTGGGGACCTCCAGAGGAACTAGGGCGACTACTCAACTGAGGGAAATCATTTATATCAAATGGAGAACCATCATTGTTGTTTACATCATTCAACATTCCCATGTTAAGACTGTTCACAACCTGAACATGATTTTGAGAAAGTGGGCCCCCCGAATGATATGAATTTCCTAACATGGACATTACCTGTGGTGAAGCTGCATCAAAAAATCATTAGAATTCATACATATTTTATTATGCCACCATTAATCTTTAATAACAAAAATACAGTATGTACCTTGTTGAAGCATGCCACCCATTAATCTATTTGAACCCTGAACATTTACATTTCCAGACCCACTATTTGTGTTGAGATTTAAGCGAGAGGAAAGACCCGGAATCGATAATCCACCACCAGAATTTAATGTTCTTCCAATATTACCCCCACCAACAATGTTCCCAGTTGAGTTTGTGATTCGAGGACTGGAATTACCTAACATAGGAGACACGCCAACCCCACCAACCCCTGGAATGGAATTGCGGTTTCCGATTGCAGCGGAGGTGGGGAGGATTCCAGGGATGGAACCACCGACTGCATTCGTGCTACTGCTATACCCAGGGCCTCCAACCACCCCCATTCCACCTCTATTAGCTAGCCCTGGATGACCATGTGAATTCCCATGAGATATTTGAGAAAGAGCTACAGGAATATTTGATGTAAATCTTCCACTAGAAAGGTTTCCAGTTGGTTGTTGAAGTCCACTTGAAGGGACATTAGACATTGTTGAGTTTCTTGATCCAAGTGTGCCTTGCATGTTGGGAACATTGTAACTACCATGTATGTTATGAAGCCCTTGAATAGATCCTGCAAAAAGAATGTTCCTATGTAAGATTACAAAAAGAAAGGATGCAAATGTTTATATAGTAAAATGCATTAACTATATAACTAACCACTGTGTTGGAAAACAGGGGAAGGTGCGCCAGATTGAGCAGTGAAAGAAGTGGAAAATTGTCGCCCTGCTGAATTATCTTGAAGATTTGAAGCTGATCCGCTCAAAGATGACTACATAAACAATAACTAATTAAGTAAATAACATATATTAGTATCACACAGATAATAAATGGTTTGGATAAAGAAGATGGAGTACATTATTAAGCAACCCTGACATTGAAAAAATGTCAAAATGTCATGCAGGAAAGTGTTCCTTGATGAAGTGGAGCTTTTTTCTTCAGTATGGTTTGCTATTTTAAGCTCTTATCTGTGCCTTAAAAGCTTATTATCTGAAAATAAGAGCAAGATTGAGAACCAAATCAAAACATAAGTTATCAATGAGATCATTTAAGGAAAACATCTACTTAACCAAATATATAAGATTTTTGTTATATAATCTAGTGATATTTAAACTACTTATCAATGTCACCTATACTTGCATTAAATCACCATCAATTATATATTATTAATTGTCTCCAAAATGTTATGAACATGTGAGCGTAACACCAGTATTTAGTAGAAACAAGTGTCTTGGACAGTTGTCTGTGATATTAATAAGTGAACCTCATTTCATTTAATGTATGCCTCTCATATTCAAAGAAAACACATCATAAATTTCAATAAATTCATCTCTAATTCAACCTAAATACATCTCATTTTCCTCGTTAGAACTTGCAACATCATTGAATTAGTCCAAGCTCTGTAACTTCTACAAGAGAAATAGCATAACAGTAACCAAAAAACGAAAACCGAAATACACCTTCCACTCTCATTAAACATGGCTATAACATTTGTAACACAGTAATTTCATGCTAGACATACCGAATCGCTGATAACTTCTGGTTTTATGAAAAATACATAAATTCAGATAGCGTCAACCGAATAACCGATTCTGTTCTGGATTATCTGAACTATTTTGGGAAGTTCAAAAACCCTAACCCGTAGAGATTCGAAACTTGTGTGTAAGCAAAAATATTCATACATACGCGTGCTCTCTGCGTGTGTGTGAGTGTAAGAGGGAAAGATTACCTGCAGGAGTAGAAAGGGTGAACGGATCTGTCAAAAAATGTCAAAGCGTGAATATGTGTTCGAGTTTGAAGGTGATAAGAAGAAATTGAAGACGCAAATAGAGAGAGAGAGAGAGAGAGAGAGAGAAAGAAGTGGGGAATCCAATTATATGGAACGACCCGAAAACGCAAGCCGATGCTCAATCACGCACACGGCCTGGTTAAATTACAAAGCCCCCTTTGTTGGGCTGGTTAGGATCCGGTTTGGATTTAGCTCCATTTTATCTTATTGCCATTACTAATCATTAAGATCTTTTATTTCACTAAATTAAGTATTGATTATTAATTATTATATGGATTAATGACTTGTAAAAAGTGACTTACCTTTTTTGTGTCATTGGTTGTTTAAGTTTTTTTTTTTTTTCTTTCGTGTTTTACCATTGAACTTTAAAAAAAACACTATTATAATCGGGTATTGTAGGTTTAGATGGTTTTCGGTAACCATGACATATCGGGTCATCTTTTCCGGTCATAATCAATTTTCTCATCATATTCTCGTATTTGAGGGAATTTTATATCAAAATCATTTTCAGATCAATGTTCTTGAGGGAACACGAATCAAAAATCTCATAAACAATTTTTGCATCAAAACGAATTCGGGATTAAAAACCTCAAATCAATTAATGCTTGTATGTGTGTTTGTGTCTGTGTCCAACTCACGAATTTCAAAAAGAGTTATTGTCCTCTCGATTCGTACAACATCAGGACCAAATCAAGCAAAAACAAGTTGTTTCTTTTTGTTCTGGTCTCTCTCACAAATAATATAGATCTTGTACTACTTCTAAGAAAAGGCAACTAAATCTGGAAAACATCATGTTAGAAACGCTCGAACAAAAATGTTGTTTTGTTTTTAA